CAAGAACATATGTGTTAAGGTAATTCGATTAGTTGCCGGCTGGACATTTTCAATTTTGAGAGAAGAAAAGATAACGGTCTACTGAACAAGACAGTCACTTGACTTGACAACAGGAACTATGCAACTGTCAGATAATGTTACTGATTGATGGTCATTTTAATCCATCTATAGTTTTCTTGTTCAAGAGGAACTAACTATGATTTATATTGATTTATGACGAGATCATTGAATATAAATTTATAGGTTAAATGAATGAACTTTATCTTATTCTGCTAACTTCCTAAAACGAAGTATATTATCTAGGAAATATCATCACATACACTTGTTATTATGTTTATATTTCATGTCTATAAAAGTTAGTTGTTACAAATGCAAAAAAATTCAGTATTGAGTTGAGACGATTAAATCATAACTTACATGAAAACTAAAGCAGTAATAAAAATAAAGTTCAATTCAGAATAGAATATCTCAATCTCTTAATCGACTTACCGCTTTAATTGAAAAATGATGTTTATTGATCTAGGAAATTTATTCTGACTTTTTTTGTATGGTAAGAGTGAATAATGCTTATATTCTATGATTCAAGTGTTTTCTCTGTTTACCACACTTAACTCGATACGATTATGACAAGTTATGACGGGTCACACTTCAAAATCTATGTGTTTCAATATTACATATTGCAGTGTTCAAAACTAAACGTAAAATGAAACAAGATGATATCATCCAATATATCGTTGTTTCTATAAGTTAAATCCTAACAGTCTAATTCATGATTTGTTTGATATCTTTTTAGTTTTTATATAGAATCAAGTTCAATGGAAAACGTGTTATATTCTCTGTTTTATGTAAATCAATCAATATTTATTAATGAACTTATTATAAAAATGTAATTTACTAATGTTTTCGAAAGGCTGATTTAATATAATAACCAATATTGTGTCCTTGTTGCATGTTTTCACTTTCATATGTTGTGAGAATCAATCTAAAACCATTAGTGAATTGCGATTAATTGGATTTAGACGATGATTTTACACTATAATTGATTGAGAGGGTTTGGATCCCATCTCTTTGCTACGCACATATCGTTTATTTTGTATCCATTTTTTTCTGTATAGAAATATCATTTATATCTATATATCTGCGATAAAAGAAATAGTCAAAAATCAATTCCAGTCTTTTAATATGAAAATAAAGAATAGCGAAATTGATATAAAAAGAAATGACAAATTTATAGACTTCACTTTTTTTCCCATGTATAATGTACAAAAAAGTAATCTTTGTATTTGGGATAGTTTTTTATTTTATCAATTCATATTCGTTAGAAGTACAGATAAATGCTTAGTTATGATCATGATCGTTACCATGAATCAGGAAACATCTATAAGTCGCATTAGTGTATCTGTTAGAAAGCCATTGCCCATATTACAGTTATGCAAAATTGTATAGACTGATGTCAATAAAGTTTTTTACTTGATGAAGAAGAATGCAACAAATAACGAAATGTTCTAATTCGATAAAGAGCTCAATCGGATCATGTTTCTCTCGAACTGAAAGATTAAATCGCAAGTTCATGAGATGAATTCATTAGATCATTTCAGAATATCAATAGACCAACTTCTATAAACTTCTTTCAATGGGTTCATAATATTGATTATATTTCAATCAAATAATTCACTGATAAGACACCCGATTGAAATACAAAAAGATTGAATAAAAATATTTTCAGTTGGTTTTGAATACGAGTCATATAAAATAATAAATGTGCTGCTATTAAGAACAAGTGTTTCTAAAGTTTTATGATAAAGAAAGTACAATAAGTTCGAATCTAGAGTTAAACTTTTATAAAAAGTTATGTGAACTCCCCCCAAAAAAATAAGGATAATTATCAAAGGTTAAATTAAAATTTTATCGCGACCAGACTTTGATCACTTTCACGAAGTTGGCTGAAAAATTAGCCACGATTGTAATCATGAGTCATGCCAGTCTATAGGTAGAAGATAGTTATATGTGATACAATGGCTAGTAGATGTTATTTGCTTTTTCCTCTTGTATTAATTCAAATCCAATAGAAAGGAAAACATAGTCATACCAGAGCTACCGAGCTGGCCTGTTTGTCTGGCAGTCGCTTGTCAGGCCAGGCTGAAGTTATTGCTCCGACTTATACGTTTTGAAAGTGAAATATTGACGCATAGTCTTATTATTGGCGAATAGTTTTGACAAATTTCCTCAATTTCAGCAATAAATGCTTGAAATGACCATCAACTAAGTGTCGTAAGATTTACATTGACTTGATAAAAGAACTTGTTTAAATTTAAAAGTATTGGATTGTAAATTTTGTCTTCATACTGTAGTTGTTTCTTTTACCTCTTTGTTGTATGTCTAATGCTATGTTGTTTTTGCTATCATGGAGACATTTTTTTCTATGTCGCATATGATGCAAGTATGGTGGCTTCTATAAGATTAATCTAAATACATATCAATGTAAATTAATTTACTGTTGAATTACTTTTTTTTTCCAGTAGATTTTATTTTCTAAACATTATTGTAACACGGGTTGTCATATAAATTCCTTAAACTTAAATAATTCCTCAGCGGATCTATTCTATATGAATATATCTCTATTAGTATTCCTCAACATTTAATTCCTTAACATGAGTTAATCCCTGAGTGGATTAATTCGTTATACAGCAGATACTTTCTGAATATAGGAAGAGTAATGGCTGCTCAATTCATATATCTAAGGCTCAAATCGTTAGTTGGTTCATTCTTTTTTTTGCAACTCAGAATTTTCTTTTGATTATGTCATAAAAATGTTCCTACCACAATTCCTATTAAAATTCCTGCTACAAAACACCAAATAACTATTTTCTATCGAATCTATTCCGAATATATTATTCTTTCAGCAGGTTATTATTTGAATCTTCCACATTCACACAAGTTTTAACGAGTTTCGAAACAGGAACAGATATCAGAATATATTTTAAAAAATCCTAATAAATCTCGAAAAATAAGTCCTGGTAGTTACTATAATGTAGAAGAATACAATTGAACATACTCGAACAACTAGAAGTACAAGCTGATCTGATTTGGCATGCAAGCATTCTGAGACAACTCAAACCAAGTCAAAACAAAAAAGAAGTATCTATTAGCAATTTTGGCTCACACATATATACTTGACAACTCTGTTGAGTTAAAATGTGAAAATTTATACTACCATGATTTCTTAGGAAATAGTAATACCTTTTGTAATACTGATTTTTATTTTAATTGAATTATTGAATTGATTTGTTCATATTAGTGTATATTCGTTTAATATCTATCTATGATTTAAATCCAAGTTATTATCTTAATAATTACGTTACATATAAATTTTTTCAACGTACAACAAAAAAAACGATAAATATGACAACTGTACATTTTAATATTCATAATTTCGTCGAAAAATTTTTGACAAAGACAAAGAGAGAGAAAACTAAGACACGATTGATATTAAAACGATAAATTGTTCACCATAAAGAAAAGAAAATAACAAAAAAATTGTCTTTAAATAAATTTTTAATGAAATATTTCAACTGGTTTTTGAGGAATTGTATTAGCATCATTTTTTTATTCCACGATCATCCATTTCAAATGCCATCTTCTTTAATAAAAATAAAATAATTAAAATTTATATTTTTCTACGTAAAAGACTTACTGTTCCTATATTCGGTTGAGGAATTAATAATTCTAATCGTGTTCGATCATCACCGTTAATTGTACCATCTCTATATTGATCTTTTCGTCCTAACCATCGTTTCCATCGAACCCAGATTTGTATGGTTTGTAGACGACGAGATAATGTTTCACGAACCTTTTAAAATAAAACGTTACTTATTTGCAAAGATGTCCCGAGGTCATCAAATGGGCGAGGGGGGAAGAGGATTACTTCTCCGACGTCCTTCGCTCGGAACATTTCTGCTTATTCGAATTAGACAAAAAGGAAAACAAAAACTTTACCTCTGTATTTAAGAAACAATAAAGTAATGAACAGAAAAACCCTTGAAATGTCACTAAAAAATAAGTCACCGAGCAATACAGAGCAAATAACACAATTGATTTTTTATCTTAAACAAGAAAAAAAAAATAATAATATTTTTCTTTATTCATTCATTGTTACCTGGTGAAACAAATGTTTCAAGCATATGTGTAATACCCAATAGAGGTAATAGAAAAATGGCTGCTTTTACTGCTGTTCTATAAATATAGCAAAATGAAATATGTTAAGAAAGACACCTATTATAATTACTTGACAAATTTTGTATTCATAGAACCACGACGATGTTTTCTAAATGTTTTTATATAAATTATAGATTAAATAAAATAGTTCAATTTTCTTTAATAGTATTAGGTTAAAAAAAAAAAAGAAGCAAATTTTATTAATACTGTTTCAGCTTATTTTACCGACTTATACAAGATTTTAAATAGGATAATGCACCATGAGAGTCTGATTGATTAATGCTGTATAAATTAAGAATTTTGATTGAAATATTTTTTTTCGTTCTTTTTTT